CTGTCCTCTGACGTCATAACCAAGACCTTACACTCGGAAAGTCCTGCTCCTGCGTCCAGGTGCCGCCATCCCTCGCCCCACACACCTCTGCCTCCTGATGGTCATATATATGGGAGCCGCTGAACTCTCCCTGAGCCAGAGCAGACAGCCACAAAATGTAATAATACAGTTTTTTCTCCAAATACCTGTTTCCCTATGTGAGGCGATGAACAGCGTTAGTGGGATCCATCAAGAGTCAGCTGCCAAGGCCTGGTCTCCATGGTGCTGTGTGACACAATGTTTCCTGGGGAGCCTCAACATACACATCTCTTCACCCCAGATTTGACACCTTGACAGAACAAAATACAGACACCAACACAGTCCAACTTGGTGAACCAATGGGTGTTATATCAGAGTCACCTACACGGATACGTGTGTGTCAGGAATTCCATAGAGGAGCAGAAATGACTCAAAGGCAGGTCATCACCGGGGCCCACCCCCACATGAGTGACAGCTCTCAGAGCTGGGAGCCTGGAGCGCACTGCACAGCCTGCGGGCAGCTCAGCGGGCGGGAGGGTGCCTTTTCCAGGTGCCTCAGTTGGTCTAAACCTCTTGCAGGCAGCTCCTCTGGGTTCTGCTTCTTCCAGGCAGCTGGTCTGGTCTGAGTCTCCTGTGCAGACTGGTTGTCCTGTCAGGGAGGGGCCTGTGGAGTCTGGTTGGCTTCAGGGACTTCCTGTAGCTATGTTGAGCTGTTTAGCTTCCTGCTTAAGGAGCTTCCCTACAGGGTAGAATGTTTCCATCTCTAGCAAACTTACACCGCACACAGGTTTCTCCAAGGCAAGGCTTCGGCTCTGCCCAGCCAACCTGGTGCTGCAGCTAAAGCATTGGGTCTCTCTGTGACCTGGGAGGTCACAGGTCACTGGGCCTTACTCTGACCTTTGACCCTCAGCTTCTCTTGTGTGTGTGGATTTGGCTTCTGTCCTTCTACAGTGTGGCTACTGGGGCACGGGGCCCACTACATCAGGCTTGGAGGCAGGTGCCATTACCCACAAGAACCGTCTCTCTGACTGATGGTTTTTAGAGTTTCATTGTGGGCTGAAACTCACACCCTGCCCATCAGTGGCTCTGTGAGGAAGGAGCCGGGAACTCATACTCCAATACTGCTGTACTTTGAACACACATAGGCTGACACCAGAGACAATAAGGCAGTCCCCGTAGACCTGACACCCACATTGTTGAGACAGGGACACTCAGGAAACTGAATCTGGAGAGGCAGAAGTGTCCACGGGAGTCACACACCCTCCTCAGTGGAGTAATTAATTTCTTTGTTGCCATCACGCAAACTTGAAAACAAGCTAAATGGAGGGAAGATGTGTTGACAGGGTCAACAGCTCCTTGTGGAAGGGAAGACAGGTGGTAGTGCGTGAAACCAGGACCTTCTCATCCCTGAGGGTCCAAAAGCCAGGGCATGGTGCCCTGTTGTCCCCACTCCATCAATCCTCTCTGAAAACACACCCAACAGACAGACACACACCCAAAGGTGTGCTACCTTAATGCCCTAGCTGCCTCTCGATTTCATTCCTTGCCAAAAGACATAAACTGCTGTACTTTTCATCCTGCCTTTCTTTGCCCAGATGTTAGTGTAAGACCCTCAGAATGAGGAGTCTCCCAGTTTCGGTCGGTTCCCCCAAGAATGCAATGTCCAGTCCAGTTGCTGCAACACGCAAGAGGCTTTAATGAACAGGAAACATTTGCGCAAACGGGCCCCCTCAGCAAGCAGGCTAGAGAGAAGCACCATCCCCCGGGGCACAGGTGTTTTTAAAGGCAAAACCCACAAGCTTAGGGAAGGGGTGGGACCCTCTGTCCATTGAGTTCGTGACCCTTTGAGGCCGGATGGTCTCCCTATTAGGGTCACCAGACCTTAGGGCCTTGGGGTGTGTTAATTGATCTTGTCTGGGCAAACCGGAGTTGCAGCTGTCTCTTTGTTTCTTAAGGACCCTATTTACCACCTGCTGACTCACTGAAAGGAGGGGCAGTGTGAATTGTTGGTATCCTGCTATCTCAGGGCTAGTGGTTAGCAAATTCCAGGATCTAAGTCACAGTGGTCTTGGTCAGCGTTCTGGGTCAGATTGCCCTTCATTTTAATTATCTGGGCTCCATTTCATTTCTTTGCTAGTTTAAGTCTTTCATTGGAGTCTTCCACGTAGAAGGCATGCTATCCCATGAGCCACTGCTCCAGTTTGTGGTGTTACGTAATAATCACCGTGTCCGCCTCAGTTTACATCATGAGCAGAAGAAGAGGACAAAGATTACACACAGCAGCAGCTCAGGTCAGGGTGACAGCTGGTAACAATCAGGACTGCCTTTGACAACCAGCTCTTCTCCCCTGCAGCCTGGTTCTGCCCCCACCCTGGCTTATAGCTGTGAGCCACCATAGCGAGGTGATACAAGGTCAGAGTCCTGGGGAAGCAGATGCTGCAGGACAAAGGCGCAGACCTGCATGTCAACACATTGTTGAGGCTCCACAGCAATGGGACACTGACTAAAACACACAGTGAACTAGCGACTTCTCAGGGAAGAGGAAGAGAGGGGCTCTGCTTCGCTGTATCTGGCGTTCCCATGGCATGCCTACTTGCACCACGGTTGTTTTCAAGCCCCCAGTAAGACACACTGAACAGAAATGTGAGGACATACTCGATAGGGCTCTGGAGTGCTGGGCAGAAGGCTCCGAACTTAAGGTCATCCTTGGCTACTCTCCACTTTGGAGCCAGCCTGGCTCCTTGAGATTCTGTTTCAAAATGAAAAGAGAAAACGGATTTTAGCTGTAGGCATTTCCAGTGTACAGTTCAGTCGTGATCAAGCTGTTGGCAGCAGATCTCCAGAACACACGGGCACTCCAAGGGGTGGGCTCCTCTCCCACCCACAAAGCCCCCGTTTGAGCCCCAGTACTGTATGTCAGGGTACATGCCTACAAGACCAGAGCTTAAGAGGCGGAGGCAGAAGGATGGATCAAAAGTCCCAGGCTGTCTTCTCTGGCTACACTATGAGTTCAAGGCCAGCCAAACTTAAAGAGCCCCTGTTTGGAAACAACGATCCAATCCAAGGGGGTACAAACTTCTGTTAACACCTGAGATACAGAAGCAGTGGGGACCCCAAAACTTAAGGACCTACCTACCCAGGAGCAGTGTCATAAATAGGAATAGGAATTCTCGGAAGACATCGTGTATTTCTACCATATAGCTGGGACAAAGATAAATGACACCCAAAACAGAAAATGTCCAGTGACAAGAAAAGGCTGGGTGGTGGTGGCGCACACCTTTAATCCCATCACTCAGGGGGCAGAGGCGGAGCATGGGGACCTCTGTGAGTTTGGGGTCAGCCTGGTTCAGTGGTAAAGAGCACCAGCTGCTCTTCCAGAACACCTAGGTTGAATTCCAACAGCCGCAGAGCAGCAGAGCAGCTCACAACTGTAACTCCAGCCCCAGGAGATCCGATGCCCTCTTCTGGCGCCAAGCACACAAGTGGTACCCAGCTATACATGCAGGCAAGCACTCATACAAGTAACAAAATAAAAATATCCACTCACAAAAACATGTACATTTCCACCCATAGGATAACACAAAACGCTATCACAAGATCGCTGCTCCCTACCGCTGCGGGCCAGGGGCCCGGCAGCTGTGGAACAGCATGATCACCTCTGCACTCCCCACGTGATGCTGCTGTGCCAAAGACCAAACCAACCCCAGTCCCCTGGCCGTGGAGACTCCAGCCTGCCCACCGTGGTCGCTGCAACATTCACGGCGGACGGCAGCGTGTCCACCGCCAGATGGACAGCCGGGTGTGTGCAGGGCAGCACTAAGCGGCCATTATCAGCAAATCCTCCCGTTCTTAGGACCCCGTGTAAGACAAAGGGCACGCGTGTCCTCCCTGTGTAGAATTCAACAGAAGGGGCAAGGAGCCCAGGACTGAGGGAAAGTGGAAAGGGAACAGAATGGATAGACATGAACGGGGCGGGGCTGGGGCTCAGCCTGCACAGAGCTGGCCTAGCTGCTTTCATCCCCAGTGCTGCATAAATGGTGGCACCCACCAGTAACCCAGGAAGAGAGGCCACAGGAATCGCAAGTTCAAGGCCATCCTGGGCTAGAAGATTCTGTCTCAAAAAGAAAAAATATTTGAACAATGTAAATCATATGCACTTATTAAAAGACTGCAACGAAACCCTTTACTTTGTTTTAACACACGGGAAAGAGGAAGATGATGATGATGGTGATGATGATCTGAGGGCCAGCAAGATGGCTCGGGGTAAAGGTTCCTGCCACTAAACCTAACAGCCCTGAGTTTGAACCCTAGGGCCCACATGCTGGCAGGGCAGAGTTGACAACCTCTAGGCTCCAGACGTGTGCCCTGACACACACACACACACACACACACACACACACACACTAAATAAATAAATAAATCAAAATACATCCAAAGAACTTAAACCTGTCTGAACGTTCGTCTGGTTCACGGTCCGGACGAGGCCAAGAGGATTCATTCGCTCGCCGCGCAGGCAGCCTGCGCTGTCACATGGTTGCCCCTCTGTGCATGCAATATTTATGGAGGTATCTTAAGCGACAGGGCAGAGGACCATCCTCCACTCAGCCCTCAAGGACTGCATTAAGGACGAGGCGGGGCTCCATTGCTGCATGGAGTCGTTGGAAGGTAAGCTGACACGCGGTGGCTAGGGCCACCGGGAGGGTGCCAGAGCAGGGGCAGGGTGTATTAATTCCACGGGCAAAGGCCGAGTCTACTACCTAGTGCCTTTGCAGGACCGGAGGCAGCGACCCGGGCCAACACACCTTCCGCGTGCACCTCGGGCAGCAACAGCCAGGGGGCGCGTGCGTGCCTTGGGAAGCGGGGCCCAGTAACTGGCTTCTCCGGGGGCCAATGGGATGCAGCGATTCTCTACGGCTCGTCCAATAAGACCGCGCGGTGATTTCCCCTTCAACCAATGGGACTTCGAGTATCGGGGCCGGGTTGGCCCCGCCTTCCGTGCCTCCTGGGGCGGCAGCGGGAACGCAGCATACGGTACCGGTCGCCGTCGAGGCTGGGCGCGCGGAGGGCACGCTGAGGTGTGAGAGAACTTTGTTGCCTTAGAAAGGGTGCAGGGCCCGAGGGAAGATGCTAGATGGAAGGGGGCCGTGGGCGGGGCTCCTGAAGGAACCCTAGGTCTGGGGGAGGAAGGTTGGGGGGCAGGGATGCAGGCAGAAGGGGGAGCTGGCGCCCCGGAATCCTGGGTCTGAGCGAGAAGGCGAGGGTCCGAACCCCGGGGTCTGAGTGGGGAGAGCTAGGGGCTTGGAGTTTGAGGGCGAGGACAGGCCCTGAGCATCCGTTCCGAGCGAGGGGCGGCTGCACTGGGCCCGCGAGTCCGAGCGGGGAGGACTGGGTTCTCTCCCCCTCGGTCTTGCAGGAGCCCTGGGTTCTGGACTTTGGCTCTGAAGGAAGGAGGAGCCTGGGGCCCTGTGTGTCAGGAAGTGGAGTTCACCAGCCTCTCGGCCCTTGGGGGCGGCGGGGTGAGGTAGCTGGAACCTAACGTGCCGAATCCTGGGATGAACAGGACAGGTCTCTCAGAATTTTGAGTCCTGGTGGCCCTGGGTCCTAAGGGCGGAGATAGCGAGGCCTTGAGAGATGTGCTGTGGGTCTGAACCTCTGAGGCTTGGGGCACAGGGCTCCCGCGGCCACTCTCCTGGATCTAGTCACTGAGAGAGAGAGTGGCCAAACCCTTGTCAGCTATGGGTCTTAGAACTATGGAAAATCTGTACAATAAACCTGTGGCCTTGCTGTTAACACACAAGGCACTTCGGGGCAGAGTTCATGACCTTGCATACCGTAGTAAAGTGGACACTTAGGGAAAACTGGGATTTAATCCCGCTCCGTCCGCTTGAATCGTCTCCTGTTCACCTTTAGTTCCTAGGTCCTGGTCAGCTCTTCCCAGACTGAGAAGCCATGGCAGGCTGCTGTGTGCAGTATTTACTGATCCTCCTCCTGCTGGGAGCCTCCCATTGGACTTGTATGTGTGTGGGACCTAGAGGGAGCAGCTGGTTCCACTGAGGGTGGATTTGTGGTGGGAAGAGGTCGCCCCACAGAGAAGAGCAATTGATTATTTTTTTTTCACCTCATCTTCCCAGTGACCCAAAGTCTACACTGCGAGGTGAGTAGAATCCTGCGTTTAGAAGACGATCCAAGCAGGAACTTTAACTGGACTTCAAAGCCTGACAAGGTCGAGAAGTGTGATTATGGAGAACTTTGCCAGGAGACTGTACTGTTGATTAAAGGAGGTAAAGTTGGAACGGAACAGTGGGTCCGATTACTGACTCCTCCTTGCTGGGTGAGACAGCTGTCCAGTTGGGTCTGCACACCTAAAACCACCTGCCCTCGCCTGTGTCTTCAGCTTCCTTTTCTCTTTCTCCTCTCATGCACACTGAGTTAGGTTTATCACCAACATCACAACCCTATACAGCACAGATGGGGGCCGGGGCGCTAACTTGGTCAGTAGGACGCTTGCCTTGAACACATACGGATCGCAGTTGAATTCCCAGAGCCCACATGAAAATGCCGGGTGTGGCGGCATGAATTTGCCACCGCAGCACTGGGGAGGCGGAGACAGAGCGATCCCTTTGGCTGCTCTCTCCCAGCTAAACATTAGGCCACCATCCACCTTCTCTACTCCGTCCCACAGAAGGAACCAAGACGGCTATTTTGGCCAGTAAGGGTTGTGCCACGCAAGATACGGAAGCAGTGACGTTCATCCAGTACGCCCCGCCTCCTGGCTTGATTGCTGTGTCCTACAGTAACTACTGCAACAGCACCCTGTGCAACAACAGCAAGAACGTGTCTCTGTTCTGGAAACCCCCAGACACCACAGGTACCTGGGCAATGGGGACAGGGAGAGCATGCCTCTCTCTTCGCGAGTCTCTGCTTAGCGTGGGCCTCAGTGGGCCAAATGCCCACTGGTCCCTTTCTGAGCCCTCCCCAGGGCAGAGGGACATCAGTGAAGGCTGTCCTGTCAATTAGGGGGTGTGTTCATTCAGCAATAAGGAGTCTCCATAAGTTCCTGAGCACATGGTGGCATTCGCTTTTAACAGCTGCGGGCCCTTCGCTGCTACAAGACAACAGCCCCCCAGTTTGGCCTCCAGGCCTGCGGTCATCTGCCCGTCTTCCCCTCTTTTGTGCCTTATGCTGTATCTTAGACGCACAGTCAAGCTTTTAACACCATTGATGGGTCAGTCGGTAAAGCACTTGCCCTGCAAGCCCTAGGGCCTGCGTGCATGCCATTCCCCAGAGCACACATAAAACCGCTGGGCATGGCACCGTGAGCTTGGAATCCCAGCTCTCAGAGGTGCAGGGACATAGGAGGATCCGTTGGGTTTCCTGGCCTAATCGGTGGGCACCAGGGCCGTGAGAGGCCCCGACTCAAGGGAGGTGGACAGCATTACTGAAGGTGACACCTGAAGTTGTCCTCTGGCCACACACAGATGCACCCATGTATGCACCCACACATGAGTGCTCATGTACCCATACTGCATACGCTTAAAAAGGGATTATTTTCTTAATATAGATGTCACAGGTCATAAAAAATAAATAGTGACACACCTGCTCCCTGCCTATTCTTACCACCTGAATGGCAGCCCTGTCTCATCTCAGTCTCGAGCTCATGCTCACATAACAGCCGCCTCCTCCATTCGAATCTCAGCTCCTTGAAGATGCTCACTGAGGCATCTCAGGCAGCTGGCGTCCTCCATTTCTTTGCCTGTACCTCGACTGCAGTACTGAGTTGTGATGCCACTGACTACCCACAAGTCTTTGTGCTAGAACTGTTCTTTCGGCTCTGTCACAGGTGTAGGAAGGGTGTGTAGGTCACGTGGTCTCTGGGGTTTCTTTCAGTGTGTGTGGGTGCGTGCGTGTGTATGCTCATGCACGTGTGGAGACGTTGTGGTAGCTGCCGTCTTTGTAACGTGTGTGCTCGCTCACGTGTGGAAGTCGGAAGACAGCTTGGAGAGTTGGTTTTCTCCCTCCGCCTCTGTGTGGGTGTGGGGGATTGAACCCAGGTCTCCAGGCTTGCACAGTAAGTGCCTGCACAGCCTGTATGTACTGCACCATCTCAACAGCCAGAGGCTGAGATTCTGTGAGAAGAAAATGAGCTGGGGAAGGGCAGGTGGGACTCGGTAGTGGGCCGGTTAGTGTGGCCTCTATAGGACACAGGAGAGAAGGCAGCCAGGACAGGCTCCTCCAGGGAGTGGGTACGGCCTTATGTCTCCCTCTCTTTATCCCCATCCAGAGACTTCCGGTATGTCAAGAGCCCTCCGCTGCCCGACTTGTGTGGCTCTGGGGTCCTGCCCCAGTGCCCCCTCCATGCCCTGTCCCAACACTACAACCCAGTGCTATCAAGGAAGACTTGAGCTCTCTGGAGGTAAAGGCCTCAAGGTTCTGACACTTGGGGACCCAGAGGTGGGGGGGGGGGGAGACTGGGCTCGTCACTCCCTAAACATCTGTGCCCCATCCCCTCCGGCTCACAGGAGGAATGGACACCATTGTGCATGTTAAAGGCTGCACCTCGGTGATTGGCTGCAGACTGCTGGCTACCATGACCTCAGTGGGACCCATGGCGGTGAAGGAGACCTGCAGTTACTACTCCTTCCTCCAGCCCAGAAAGGCAGAAGAGAGCCGGGCCTCCTGGATGCTCACCTCACTGTGGATGCTGGAGCTTCTGCTGCCAGCAGTGCTGGTGGCCCTCACCAGCTTCCCCTGAGAGAGCACTGTCGGGCTCTGGGTTCCCCTGAGAGGGCACTGTCCGGTTCGGGGTCCCCCCTGAGGGCACTGTCGGGCTTAGGGTCCCCCGAGAGGACACTGTCGGGGTCAGGGTCCCCCCTGAGGGCACTGTCGGGCTCGGGGTCCCAGACTTTAGGGTTTTGGTTAGGAGGAAGCTGCCTGTCTGCTGACCACCAATTAAGAAGGGGGCGGGGTTGAGGAGCAGAGAAATATGATGTGTATTAGACACAAATAATAAACAGTGCTTTGTTATTAGATCTTGTGTGGTGAGGGGAGAGGGGTTGGGGAATGGGATTCCAAGGACAGTCCTCAGAAGTGGGTTTTCTCCTTCCACCATGTGGGTCCCAGGAAATGGAACGTAGGTCATTGGGCCTGGTGGCCAGCACTTACCCACTGAGCCTTTTCATCTACCCAAAGTTGTGATTTGTGTGCTTCAAGCCATGCAGTGGGTTTCACTGCTGAAGGGGGGCTGCTCACGTGTTGTCTCTAACACACATTTTCCAGGTAAGGGAACAGTTTGGATAAATTGGAATTTCTCCCATCCACGTAACTATAGGCAAACCCAGTGGTACATAGCTGTAGTGCCAGGACTCAGGGAGTATCAGGCCAGCCTGCTCGACATAGCAAGACCCTGCTCAAAAACCGGACCGTGGCGGCACACACCTTCAATCTCTGCACTCCCGTGGCAGAGGCAGGTGGGTCTCCGAGTTCCAGGCCAACCAGGACTACATAGTAAGACCATACATCAAAAATATGTATGTATGTATGTATGTATATATATATGTATATATATATGTATATATATGTACACACACACACACATATGGGAATGAGGGACAGAGACAGAGACAGAGAACAAAGAAATGGCTTTGGACAGAGCCAGGGCATAAACATAGGTATTTGACCAAGAGTCTTGATTTTTTTTTTTTTTTTTTTACTCTAATACGTTCATTTTTCTGTGGGATTCCCAGCCCAGTCTTTTTTTGCTGTTGTCATTATTTTTGTTTTTCAAAACAGGGTTTCTCTGTATATCCCAGGCTGGTCTGGGACTCAGTATGTAGACCAAACTGACCTCAGTTTCACAGAGATCCACCTGCCTCTGCCTTCTGAGTTAGATTTTTGGTTTTTTGAGACAGGGTTTCTCTGCATTGCTCTGGAGCCTGTTCTGGAACTCGCTCTGTAGACCAGGCTGGCCTTGAACTCACAGAGATCCACCTGCCTCTGCCTGCTGAGTGCTGGCATTAAACGTGCCGCCGCCGCCGCCACCACCACCCGGCCTGAGTTAGATTTTTTAATATAATATTTTTATTAGTTCCTTGAGAATCTCACGCATGAATGTATTCACTTGCCCATCTCTCGCTAACTCCTTTCCCGCCTCCCTCCCCTTCCCCAGCTTCATGTCCTGGTTTGTTGGTGTTTAGATAATGAAGGGCTTCCGCTTTTCCGCTGCCCTGTATTCAGTGTGGGACCAATTCCCAGACTCTATCAGGGGCCACACCCTTAAAGAAAACTGACTCCCTCCCCTGGAAGCCATCTAATGTCCCACCACAGCTAAAGGTTGGGGCTTGTGAGCCCCTCTGCTCAATGCTGCCGTGTCCACCGGCTTGATCCTGTGCAGGCAGCCATGGCTGCTGGAAGATCCTGGCTGTCCACAGACAGTTTCTCTCTGGTCCTCCCGGCCTCTGGGGCTTAGCATCTTTCCACCCTCCTCCCCAACACTGGCCCCTGAGCCTTGAGGGTAGGAATGAGATACAGATGGCCCATTTGTCGGAGCACGCCACAGACACATTCTCCACAGTTTGACCACTTTTGAGCATTCTGTATTGATGTGCTGGCTCGTTTTTTATCAACTTGACACAAGCTGAAGTCATCTGAGAGGGGGGAGCCTCGATTACAAAAATGCGGCCACATGATTGGGCTGTAGGCAAACCTGTAGGGCATTTACTTAATCTTTGGCAAGAGAGGACCCAGCCCATTGTGGGTGGTGCCATCCCTGGGCCGGTGGTCCCGGGGTCTCTAAGGAAGCAGACTGGGCAAGTCATGAAAGCAAGCCAGTAAGCAGCATCCCTCGATGACCTCTGCATCAGCTCCTGCCCTGACTTCTGTCAGTGATGGACAGTGATGTGGAGGTGTGAGCCAAACAAACCCTTTCCCTCCCAACTCGCCCGAGATCTTGGTGTTTCATCGAAGCAACAGAAATAAAGAGTTAACCACAGCCCACTGCAGGACGGAACTGTGGGGGGAGGGGTAGCTGTAGTGAGATAGTCCTTCTGTGGCGCTGACCACGCCCATTGGGGGGTGGAGCCATGGGCGGAAGTGACCTGTGGAAGGAGGTCGGAGGAAGAGCTGTGAAAAACTCTCTTGCTGGCGGGACTCGGACAGGAGAGCAGGAGAGCATCTGGTGGGAATTGCTGGTGTTCATCTGTCTAGGCTGTAAGTTATTTCTCCCTGAATAAACATCTATTCTGCCTATTTGTTTATCCTGATCCTTATTTAACCGCAATAGGTAGCAGTCCACCCCCCCCCCCTCTCTCTCTGAGAACCTGAGTTCAGTTCCTAGCACAGACAGGACAGCTCACAATCCCCTGGAGCTTGTGGGTGCTGGGAACTGAGGTCACAGCTAAGAGATCTCTCCAGTCCCAAGGGGAGCAAGGTATTTTTTTTGTTTGTTTGTTTTTTGTTTTGTTCTGTTTTTTTGGGACAGAGTTTCTCTAGTTTTGGAGGCTGTCCTGGAACTAGCTCAGGCTGGTCTCGAACTCACAGAGATCTGCCTGCTTCTGCCTCCCATTGTTGGGATTAAAGGTGTGCACCACCACAGCCCTGCATGGGGAGCAAGTTCTTAAAAGTTACAGACCAGCCCCACTTTCTGTCTGAGCTCTGGTTCCTGGATGGCACCATGTAAGATACATCACCCCCTACAGGCTTCCACCATGATGAACCATTCCCTCCAAACTGTAAGCCAAAAATAAACAAAGTTTTAAAAAATTAAAAAATAAAAAAAAACAGCTTGCTTTGTCATGTATTTGTTACAATGATGACAAAAGTGATTTTACAAAGAGAGAAACATATATATATATATATATATATATATAGAGAGAGAGAGAGAGAGAGAGAGAGAGAGAGAGAAGTAGAAGATGATAGATACTGGAGGGAAAATAACTCCGTTAGTGTTTGCCACACAAGCAGAGGATCTGTACTCAACCCCAGCACCCTCATTAAAAAACAGACCACGGGCTCAGGAATGGTGGCGTCCTGAATGCCTGTAATCTGGCCGGCCCAGCCTAGCCTACTTGGTAAATGTTCGAGTTTACTTGTTGTTGCTGTGGTTTAAAACACTCTGGCCAAAAGTGGTTTAGGGGAAGGACAGGGGTTTTTTACCCTGTGCTTCCAGGTCACAGCTCATTACTGAAGAAAGCAAGAGCCAGAACTCATGACAGGCATCACAGAGGAATGCCATTTTTCACCCCACCCCCATACTCACAGTGGAGCTTAGTGAGCATCCTTTTACAGCCCAGGATCGCCTGCCTGGGGATAGCCCTCGCCCTCAGTTGAAAATTAAGAAAGAGACTGGAGAAATGACTCAGCAGTTAGCATTGCTTTCTGAATTTCTATAGGACCTGAATTCAGTTCCCAGAACCCATGTGGGGCAACTCCTAACCTTAACTCCATTTCCATGGGAATCTGACAACACACAAGCCTTTGCCTCATCAGGCATTTACACACAGGTGCACACGCTTGCACAGTGACATACACACACACACACAATCTGAACGATGTGTGAGTTACATTCTTTGGGGTTACATAGCATTTCTTGAGTAGCCCATAATAGAAAGAGCCACTCTGATACCACATAAGGGATCTCAGGCTTGGAATCTCGCCTGACTGACTGGAAGTGAGTAACCATGGCAATGGTAGCCTGAAAGATATCGCCCCGAGAGTGACATTGAAATTCAGGACCTAAGCAATAAACAGTTGGCCGAACCTTGAGTCTTGTATCATAAATGTGAGATTAGGAGTATGTGCAAGGAGTTGGTTGATGAGGGGAGTTTTGTCTTAATGTTAGTAGCCTGGCTTTGGTTCACCTGAGAATTTCTCCTTGTGCATTTCATTTGCCGGGCAACTAGTCTGCTTTGAGTTTGCTCTGAGGTCTAAAATTAGCTAAAGGCACAAAAGGCTGTCTTTGTAGCTGAGAAGACTGTTGTTTTCCTATGTCATTCTGAGTTATGAAAAATATCCTACTATTATTTCTGTTGACCAAAATTGGACATTTAAGAAGACATCACCTTCCTGACTATCCACAGATACACATGTGCCTGATAAAGGAATATATACACAAGACACATACAAGCAGTGCAGAAAATTACAGACAGAAGCAACCAGTCCAGAGCCCTGTAACCCTTGTAGCATGATAAATACAAGACCCAGAAACTGGTATTGGGGTTTAAGCTTCAAGCTGAAGATCAGAAAAGCAAAGCAGCCAGCCACTAGCTCTCACCTCTAGCTCAGGCTGGAAGGGCTGATCCATGAGCTCTCCACCAAGCCTCTGCGTGGCTGGAGAGAATTCTGAGACTGGGCCGAGTGAAGACCTTGCTCCTGTCTTGAATACCTCTCCAGTGCAGGGATTAAAGGCATGTGATCCCAGGAGCTGAGATCTTTGTGCGAGCTCTTTCTCTTTAGGACTGGATATGTTTCTTGCAGTCAATGTGGCCTTGAACTAACAGAGATCCATCTACCTCTTAATCCTAAGCCCTGGGATTAAAGGTGTGTGCCTGGCTTCTATGGCTTCTGGCTGGCTTTGCTTTCTGAATCCTCGGGCAAGCTTTAATAAATCACAAATAATATATCACCATAATTCCATTTTTCATCCAGTACAAAAAGAAGAAAGCTACAACTAACATAAGGAAAACTATATACAGTAAGCATATACAATATATACAGGCAACAAGTTCATCAACAATGTCTAGTCCATTTGCATTTGAC